TTTTTTTTATTATTACAGAGGAAAACAATATATTATAATATTATTTATTATTATTGAATAATATTAATATTATATATTCTATTTGCTTATTATAATAGATAGTGGCTATACATATATATATATATACACACTTTATTTATTTATTTATTTATTTATTTATTTATTTATTTATTTATTTATTTATTTATTTTTATAAAATGTATTTTATTTAAATATGTATAGAAAACCTTCCATTCCAGGAAGATCTTTCCTCCTTCCTTTGAACAGAAGGTGATTTTATCCCCTTATGAANGTAAGATGCTGCAGTGAAGACAGCCTTTTTACATAAATGCAAGTGAACGGCTTGTGAAATACTGAAATGACATTGTTCCAGAGATTTGAGAAAAAATAATATTTATTTAAAAAAAAACCTGAAATTGAGCCGCATTGCAGGTGCTGATGGGATGCCAATGAGCTCTTCCTGCAGCCATAGATCTGAAGTTGGGGGCGTCTTTGCACCCCACTAGAAAGAAGGTTCCAGTGTCCCTGTGCCCCTCTCCTTGGCAGGCTGAACAGGGTTGCACCAGGTGTTTCTTTAGCTGCAGCTCTGCCTGCCTGTATCCTAGCAAGAGGATGAAGCACTTAYTGTGGCCTACAGTAAGTCCATGTCTGTACCTGGATTAGGTTGCAGAGGATTTGGCTGTAGTAAATCTTTATTTAAAAATCCAATGCCCATTTCTCCTTTAAATCTGCATAGTGTAAAACCAAAGTGGCTGCATCTCCCCAAGTAAAATATTTTTATTCCATTTTATTTTTACTTTCCTCCTTTTAAAAAAGATAAATAATTGAATCCTGAATGTTTCAATCTGAACTCTACAAATATTGCTTTGGTCTTTAAGTGAATGAACTTTGTGACAACATTCCTTGTAAAGCCTAAGKCTTTCCAGACAAGTGATTAACAACTGGGATAAGCCCTTCCATGAGGCATGAGTTTTGCTGCCTGTTGTGTGGTACCCTTGGCTGAGTCTGTAATTGTCTAAATATAAAGAGATAAAAAAGAAAGGGATTGCCAAACTGTACTGTATAACGTAAAGCGAGTCAGRGGGAAAGTGTTTATAATTTTTCTTCTTCCTTTTACGTTGCTGGCTTGTTCTTATCTTTAGCCAGAAGATGCTAACATCATTTCCTCTCTATAAATTGGCTTGCACATGATACAAAAACACAACATGAACTTTCTTTTCTAGCATAATAGGTGTTTTGAAGCTTCAGTGTTTGGATATTCAAGAGTCCTGATTTAATCTCAGAACTGTTGAAGCATGACTTCACCGAGCCAGAGAGGCCAGTGGGCCTTCTTTTTTAACTAACCATCAATATTTAGGATGGAAATTTGRATTTCATTAGAACAACCAATGTTTGCAAAGTGGTCATAACAGGACTTTTTTTGAGCTAGCATGTTTACCTCTTTTGTTGCCTCTCTAGTCCTGTTTGAAATAGAAGTGTGATTGGCCTGTGGATTGTAACAAAGCTGTGACTATTGAAGCTGATTCAGAAAGCTATTGTTCCTCTCTTCAATACTAAATGAGTATCAGAAAATAATCCCAGAAATAGTCCTAAAAGCTTTCATGAAGTTTTTAACAGTGATTCAAATTATTAGTGATTCACCTATTAGTGAATGAAATATGAAACTTGTTCCTATTGCTCCCATTGCTATGCCATCTGGATAAATCATGTGAAATAAAATTATGGTGACTGGCTAAAACAACCATAACTTCACCTAGGGAAGCAAGAAAAATGGTGAATTGCTGCCAGTTTTTCTTGTTAAGCAGTGTCCCAATTTTGAGATTTAGTTATTTTATTTGCAATGTAGCTATCTAATTAATTTAAATAAAATACATAGAATTTACATAAAGTACATAAAAGGTATGCCCTGAGAACATTTTAGGAGTCATTTAAGAAGCTGGGAGGATCTCCCACTTTGACAATCAAATAGTTAATCACAAATGGGAACTTTAGGCCCACAGGTGGTCATGAAGTGAACATAGATAGGGTATCGTATTGGGGGCCACATAAAAAATTCAGTGTGCTCCACATGGGTTCTGGCACCAGGTATCCCTGAACAGACCTTTCAGAGACTTCTTGGTGCCACGGTGGACAATTAGAGCTGATTTTACTGTGAGCATGTCAGGCTCTGGACTGTTTTTGTGTCTGAGTGTGACAGGCTATCAGATGTCTTGGAGGGGCTTTGGCTGGCTGAAGAGTTCGGTTTCCTAGGGGCCGTGCAGCTGCTCAGTTATTGCCTGCTCCTGTCAAGAAGTGCTGTTAAAGCAGTTTTGAAAAGCACTGCAGGATGAGCACAAAGATTGTGTAGGTCATGGGTAGCTGGGTAGGTCCCCAGTGCAGGCATTGTGCAGCTGTTTTGGTTTTGTCCTTGCCCAAAGTGTCCGAAGCAGCAGACAGGATTCAGGCTGCCCACAGGAGTCCCAAATGCCATTTTCTAATAAGCAGGAAACAGCATTGTTTTAAATGCAGGTTTTCTCRAAGACAGTGTTTGTGCTGGAGTAAGCAGAAAGCAGCCATGGTATGCACCTTCAGTAGGAAACACTTCCACTTCCAGGGCTGATTGACTATTTTGGATTTAATACTGAGGAGTTGGATAAGTCCTGTAAATTTACAGACTGATTAAGTGAACTTAGAGTGTCCTAGTAYCCTAGTACCCAAATGGCAAGCCAAGCATTGCTTTTCTAATTGCTCCTTTTCTCTGGGACTGCTGAGTAGCATTTATTCCTTACAAAACCATCTGCTAGCTTGTTAAGCACAGGAAGCTGATACCTGCAGACAGCAGCCGAAATCAGCCAGTTTGAGCCTTGGTCTGGCGTAACTACAATGAGCTGCCCTGAGGCTTCACAGGATTTGCATCATGGCAGGTGCATGCGGTTCAGCTCCTTGTTGCAGCAGCTTCCATGGCCAGCAGGCAACAATTTGAGCAAAGGTACTGCCAAAGGTTCTTCTTCCTGGAAGAAAAAGAGATTTGCAAAAATAGAATTAAGCTTGGTGYGTCCCTGGCTTATTGCTGTCAAATGGAAATGTATGGGAACTTTGCCATGCAGCACTTAAGTGTAAATGCATCCCGTTGTCACCATGTGGCCAAGAGTTGAGGTTTTAAGATCCATCAAAAGTAATATCTAAGCTTTCCTTTTTAAGGAAAGAGTCCTGATCAGATTAGAAGGCAGTATGTAAATGGTTATCTGGGCAGTATGCTAGTGCTAGAATTGTGTATTGTAATCTGGTAGAATTCCTATTTTACAAAGTAACTTTCAAAAAAAGSTGGAGACTTTTTGGAAATTCTTTCAGTATGTTTATTAAACAATTTAACTTGATTCCTGAGGGAAATGTCATTGCAGACCAGAAACAGCGCGGTATTGGTCTGACAGAAAAATACACAGATATACAGTGTAATTGTGGGGAAGGGATTTGTTTTGTTATTTGGTTTCGATTTCCTTTGGTTTGATTATCCCATGTATCTTATGAAGTATCACTGCAGCAGTACAACTGCAAATTAGACTAACCAGTGGTCTCAAGGGACCTGGTCAGGTTTGTCACTGGTATTTCATGGCTGTCAGCCCTGAAATTAAACCATTTGATAACACATCAAGCCTGAAAGAGTCTAGATTCAACAGCAGAATATTTTGCATTGCTTATAGTGTTATTTCATGCATTAAGCTAAATTTTGCATGAGTGGGTAACCCCAAGAAACTAGGGAAATAGCTGGATCACTGTTGGCACTAAACTGTGTRTTAATAGCAGCAATCTGCATTTTAGCTCATTAATTTCAAGCGAGCTCCAGTACATCTCTATGAGTGGCTGTGTGCACACAGTAGCTTGAGGCTGTTCCTGTTGCACTTSCATTCTTTATTAGAATATAGACACAGTCACTGTCCTGTGACCATGTGTGCATCTAGAAATTATAAGCAATGATTTTTTGCTTCTTAGGAGAGTTGTGTTGAGAGGACTTGAAAAAAGATTTGGGAATGGGAATTAGCCAATATTGACAGAAACTGCATAATAATCCATTATTTAGACGGAGAGTACAGCAAATTTGACCTGGAATCAATTCTCACAGTGAAAGTCCTCTCAGCATGTGGAGAGCCCTCTCCCTGCCTTTTAAAAAATCCTTCCCTCAAGTAAAGATCTGGGTTTTTTTGGGTTTTTTTGGTTTTTTTTTTTTCATTTATCTGATCATGTCAGGTTATCATACTTGATTATCCCTAAAAATTCTCTTTTAGTCAAATGATCCTGTCTGGAAACGGGAGCTCTGTGGTGAAATTAATAGTTTGGTTGTTGATTTCCAGTATACATTTTACCAATGTTGAATCTTTGATGAACATTCACTCCTAAGGATGTACAAAAAACTGAATTTGAAAACTTGCAGGCAGAATGCTCAGTTCCAATAAGTAACACATTTTGTGACAGGGTGGGAGAGCTGGAGATTAAGCACACTTCCTTCCAACTTGTGTTTAATAGTGMAGACCAATCTATTTAATAATTTAGGCATCAAACATTAGTAGCATTATGAGAAGAAAGCATAAGGAGGAAATTACCCCATTACATAGTATTTTGACAGGATTAAAGTCTCAGAGCAAAAGGAAGAAATAAATGTGTTAAAAAAATAAAGAAATATATGCTTTCTTAGCTCAGTAGGTTCTGTGTACATCAAGTTTTGGTCTGCAGTATTGGCCATATACAGAGGTGGGGTGTTCAAACTTTTGTTACACGTGGCAGTATTAAGCTTTCATTTGGATTCATTCACTGCTGTGATTTCCCTAGGAAAGCACTGTCCAGTGAATGAAATTCTCAGCCAGCTGACTACCTTTCATTTTTTCAGTGCTGTCACAGCTTAATCTCTTCCATTCATGTGTTGTTACCAGATGTGGAATGCTGGGCTTGCCTCTTGCCCAGTGTCATTTCACACATCTGGGAATGCTGTGGTTTGCAGAATGACAAGTTGCACTCTTTTCTTCCAGTTTCGCCTGGTGGTAAAGACAGCACTGAAGCTGCTGCTGGTGTTTGTGGAGTACACAGAATCCAACGCACCACTTTTGATCCAGGCAGTATCTACAGTGGATGAAAAGAGAGGTGAGTAGCCCTACCGTGGGGTTGCAAAATTCCAGCACCCTTGTGATCAAGGTGGCATTTCATCATTGCTTTTCAGTGGTTCTAGAGTTTCTGTCATTGATGCCTGCTTGGTGTAATATACCCTTCATTTTTTAAAAGCATATATAAACTATTCATATACTCTAAGGTTGTTGAAGAATTAATTAAAATGGGAAAATGAAGAGTAAAAAGCTAAGGAACTCTATTGCCTCCTGGAGCACTCCCTCCCTCCACCCGCATGCAGAGTAAATCTCCCCTGTGTCTTCTGACCTCAGAGGCTCCTTTGGGCAAGGCCATTTTTTAACTTCCTTCTGGGAAGCAGCAGTCTGATTTAGAAGAGAAAATGATATCTAATCAGTGTAATCCCTTTGAAGAGAAAGACGAGGTCAGTAATAGTACAGGCTTTATAGTAAAAGCAAAACCATCTGTTGTTACATTAAAATAAAGCCCTTGAGCAGATATTATACTATGAAATCTGTTACCCTTCAGGCTCATGAAAAATACTTGAATATGTATACTGTATTTTTTACAAATAAATAGAATGAAAATGGTTTTTTCTTGTTCCTCCCACAAAGCCATCGCTAAGCTCCTGGGGCATTCCCTCTTGATGCAAAACATTCCTCTGCCTCAAGGAGAGTTTTTGAGGTTAGGAGATCCATTGTTGTGGTCTCAAACATGGAGGTTGAAAGCAAGGTCCTCTGTGTGGAGCAATTGCCTCCATACTGAACTTGTCTGAGAGACTTGATATGGTAAAAGTAAAACAAGAAAATGTAGGGGGCTGGGGAGAAAGGTGGTGCCAGAAAAAGGATAAAGGAGYCAGATTTTGCTTGCAGTTATCAGAATGTGTTGAGAAAATCTAAATTGTCTCTTACAGCACGGAAGCAGGCAGGGGCAATTCAAAACCAGTGAACTCTGCAGGTTGGCTTTCTGTTTTGGATTAAAAACAGTAAACCTTCCAGTGCCATAAGCATAAATGTAATTACAATATTCATGTGCTTGTGAGCACTGTGACTCATTTTTTCAGTCATTCTTAGTATTTCCTCAGCTTTCTGAACTCACTGGTATTCTCAATATGTTCAAACTGCCATATATCTACTAACATGCTAGTAAACCTCATTAAAAAAAAAAAAAAGAGAAAGGAGGACTCTAAGCAAAGTATCCCCTTCTGTATCTGTAGAATAACCTTAGGCAGTCATTTGCATGCCCCAAAATAATAAAACAACTTAAGTAACAACATAAGACTTGAAGAAACTGATGCATGTAGTTAGATGAGCATATGTTAGGAGTATGATGAGAGGTTTTGCAGGAATTCTCATACCTGTACTTCAGTGGATTATTTCATGAACTCTTGCAAATAACTTAGCCCAAATACCCAGTTTTTCCTTTCTCCTATTTTTTACAATGATTTTCATTAAGCAGTTGTACTTAGCTCCTTAAGAGATTTTTTTTCTGGTTTTATATTTAGTTCCCTTTTTAGGTTATCAATGCATAGAGTCACATAGTCATTTTGATTGGAAAAGACTTTTAAGTCTATCAATTCCAACCATTAACATAGCACTGCCAAGTTCATCACTAAATATGTCCCTCAGTGCTACAGCTACTTTTCTTTTGAAAATCTCTGGAGATGGTGACTCCACTACTTCCCTTGGCAGCTGTTACAAAACCTGACAATCCTTTTGGTGGAAAAATTCTTCCTAATATCTAACACAAACCTCRCTTGATGCAACAGAAGAGTATTTCCTCTCATACTGTTGCTTGTTAACTGGGAGAAGAGGCCAAGCCCTACCTGGCTACAGTCTCAGGAATTGAAGAGAGAAGTAAGGTCCCCCCTGAGCCTCCTTTTCTCCAGATAAAACAACCCCAGCTCCCTCAGCTGCTCCTCACAGGACTTGTACTCCAGACCCTTCAGCAGCTTCGCTGCCATTCTGTGGACACRCTCCAACACCTCAATGTCTTTACTGGAGTAAGGGGCCAAAAACCAAACAGAGGATTCAAGATGAGGCTTCACCAGTGCTGAGTACAAAGGAACAATCACTTCCCTGGTCCTGCTGACCACACTGTTCCAGATACAGGCCAGAATGCCCTTGGCCTTCTTGGCCCGCTGGGCACTGCTGGCTCATGTTCACTGTTCATGCTGTGGACCAGCAGCCCCAGGTCCTTCTCTGCTGTGCTGCTTCCTTGTCGCTCTGCCCCCAGCCCCTAGGGCTGCCTGGGGTTATTGTTGACCTTGTTGATCCTCATACAACTGGCCTTGTCCCAATGATCCACCCTGTCCAGATCCCTCTGCAGAGCTTTCCTGCCTTCCAGCAGATCAACTCCCATCTAACTTGGTGTCACCTGCAAACTGACTGAGGGTGCCCTCAATCCCTTCACCCAGGTCGTTGATAACGACAGGAAGCAGGAGTGGTCCTAACACTGAACCCTGGAGAGCCCTACTAGTGATCATCTGCCAGCTGAACTCACCTCCATTCACCACCACTGGCCAGCCAGGCAGCCAGTTTTCTACCCAGTGAACAGTGCACCTACCCAAGCCATGAGCAGCCTGTTTCTCCAGAAGAATACTGTGAGAGACAGTGTCAAAGCCCTCCAGTTTTAGCTGTAGATGTGCTGTGTTTTAATTTTTAATTTTAAATTAGTGGCTTATAACTGAGACGTAACTGCCTTTAATGACTGATGTAAAACAGAAAAAGAGGGGAAACAAAAGGCAATATGCCTTTTCTTGAACCATTGTCATAAATCTTGCAGGTATGTAATTAGGCTTAGCACTGCTTTGATAAAAGTTCAGTGTTTCATGTACATACAAGGTGATGAGCTATGACCTAATTCTTCAACATGTGTACCACACATGATTAACATAAAGAATCCCATATTAGCTCAGCCTGGTTTCAAAGCAATCCCATCTGTGGTTTCTATGTGTGAATACATCCGTATGCAAACTGAAGTACAGAGATCCATGCAAGTACTGGCTTTACTCTGAGATGCAAGCAGACCATGAGTGAGTAACTGCATAGCTCTCACCATGCAGGAATTACCTTCTACTTATACTTCCATTTAAYTCCCCCTTTCTCCCCTTTCTTGTTTCTGTGCCTGAGAAGAATTTGGTCTCTTCTCAGTTTAAGCATACCTGACTGTACAGGCTCTGGAAAGCAGAGCAGCATTACACTCCGCTGTCTAGGGCTTCTTTATCACAGGCATATTTTAGGACAGAGATTAAAGCCAAATGGCCCTCATTATCAGCTCTCTGCTTTTCCTGACATTTTATTCATAGTTAGATCCTACTAAATTAATGCACACGCTGTAGGTACGATGGAAGGATGTAAGTTCATTCATATATAAATGGCCAGGAGTACAAGATGTCCAGGTCTTTCCAAAAGTGCCTTTCCATCCTGTAGTTGCTGGAGACAGGCACTCTCTAAGTTGGTGGCAGTTCTCATACAAGGTTCTACAAGGTATTTCATGTTTTATACAGACTGAAAATCCTCTGTAGCTGTGATGTCAATGCATGCCATGTATGCCATGTGTGCCATGAATGACACCATTAAAACAAATATGTAAAAACATTTAAAGAGGAAACTGAGAAAAAACTAAGACTTAAAATGAGGGACAATATTAACCAGAAAATAGACTGTATTGATTTAATATCCGCTTAATTGTTGCAACCTCATTGTCCTTTGCCTATACACCATGCACGGTTACTTATAACACTGTAAGTAGCATCAGAGTTGAGACTCCAGCCTTCCTGTGGGAATAGCTGTGATAAAGAGCTCTTCCCAGTGACAAGCCTCTAAAGGGCAGCTGAGCAGTTCTCATTTTACCCATTAGAAGGCAGGAGAACACACACAAAACTCGATCTCTGCTGTTTCACTTCACTGAGCCTGTTTCATCACTTGCATCGATTTTGCCACATGTCCTGCATAAAAGTCATAACCTTATGGAAACATCCCCATCTGCTCCCAGAAAAATTGCTGGGATGCTGCATCATCATTCTTCTAAATCATCATTCTTCTACATCATCATTTTTCTACATCAGGATCTGGTGAAGGACCAAATTCACCTATTCCTTAGTTAAAATCAAGAGGAGGCAGTGCTAATGATTTTGGCAGAGCTGCTCCAATACATATCAGATGAAACCTTTCTTTCAAATGCTATTTCCCTCATCATGATTTTAATCTGAACAGGTTTCTTTTCCCTTTAAGCACTCTGGACTGCATCAGCTCTGATGGGGGGAGCTGAGAGTGAAAGCGTGAGCTCTGAGAGGGGGAGCTGAGCTGGATCTGCACATGTCCCATGGTGTGTGGATCATAGGTTGGAAATCATAGGTTTGCATTATRTGTATGCAAGGAATATTAACCCAAGGACAGCAGTACAGTCATGGTGCAGCTTCCACAACAGAACTGCCTTGTCCCATGMTGGGTGGATAGGGCTATATCCATGTTCACTTCTTGGCTGTTCAGATTGAGACAATGGGGAAAATAGCATTTGAAAAGAACAGTTTAACCTGGTACAAATTGGAGCAGCTCTATCAAAGTCACTGATAATACTGCCTCCACTTGACTGTAGTTAGGTAATAGATGAAGAATTTGTAAATAAGTTTAGTAGCAGCAACGTAAAGGAAACCTTTGAAAGAGACATGAGCTGTTATGGGGCTGCCTTACTAGTAAGTGTGCCTGATCAACAATTTTTAAAACTTGTTTTAAAAAAGCAGCATTGGTGGGACAAATTTATGTATCATCCTTGCAGAAAAACAGCAAGGTGACCATGAAATTATTCTTTTATGATAATGAAGAGGTATTGAGACATTCAAAGAAAAAAACAAAACCACACGGATGCTGTCTAAAAAACAAACCAGGACTGTTCCAGTTAGAGTAGAACCTGCCTGCAAAAATAAAGGACTCTCATGAATAATGCAGTGGATTAAATATCTTTTTTTATGTTGTTACCAACTCACCTGTTTTTCCAAATGGCATTATTATAAGTCAGACTTGAATGGTTTTCCCATTTTGTTTTTCTTTCGTATTTCCTTCCATTTTTCTTTTTTTTTTTTACTGAAAACAGTGAAAGGAAGACATTTTTGTAGTGAGAATATAATTTCTGCTGATCATATATCACTTGCAAGCTGAGTGAATTTGTTCCACGTGATGTTTGAACATATACTGCATAAAATGTTTGGCAATATAGAGAATCTGGTAAAAAGGTGCCTAGTGTATTTTCATTACAGACATGTATTTGAATTAGCATTTAATTAGTAATGCACATAAATACATCTGGAGATCTGAGAGTGAATCCCCTTCCTCCTCTGATTTTGCTTGAGATAAAGAAGCCCTGATTTATTGTTCAGTAGCAAAGATCAGAGACTGTCTGAGGTGTAGAAAATAGGAGAAATATTCTGTCTGCACATTCACATGTAGTGCACTGCCATTGCCTTGAAAATGCAGTTCCTTGGTTAGCAGAGGTTTGGTATCTGTGTAGAAGGGTACATGTATGGTATCATCTTTAATAAACAAGGGCTGTTATAGGGTAATGCAGAGTTTACACCTCAGGGTGACTGATCAGTCAGCAGCAGGTGGCTGTGATGTCACTTCTGCCTTTTGCTGCCTGATTATACCCAAACTCTCATCATCTCTCTAGTGCTTAGGGGATGTGGACTATTGGAATACTCTGCATGTTTCCCTCTGAAATTGAAAGACTGTCACAGTTATGTTTGTCTAGTTGAATTGAGTATTTCTTTAGGCTAAGGTCAGTTCTCTGCTTAATCCTCCTCACCTTTACCTTTACTCCAAATAGAACTGCAGTTTTTCATTACTTATTTCAGTTTTCCTAGAAAAAACTTGGTAAATGCAACCATCTTGTTGTTCAGCCAAGTGAAATAGGACAGTTTTACAAGGCACATTCAACACAAGATGCTGAGTGTGGGTGGCATGTTGCTTGCCTGATGTTTTTAGCACAAATTCTCACTAAAGCATTAGAGTTTTGGTATCAGAGAAATATGCTAATTCAAATCAACATGCAAATCGAGGAAATAACTAAAAGCATGAATGTTGACCTTTCTTAGTGGAAAATGAGGCAATCATATTTGAAAGTTYTCTAGGCAGGTTTCCTATTAAAATAATTTGAGAAAGAACCACAGCAAAATCGTTTTCCCTTATTGATCATATCTTTCATCCAAGACACATAGCCTGTAATTTGAGAAAACTGTTTCTCTGCCACARTGTTTTGTTAACCTGACTTACCTTAATGCAGCTCAACTCAGCAGCAACATCAGAAATGGGAGCAGCAGGCACACTGAAAGCATARCATGGAGGTCTCTGCTGAAGATTTATCAAAGCCTGGGTGAACCTATGATAGGCTGGAAAAAATTCCTCTCATTTGATTTTTAGAATTTTGGTGTGAATCACACTGTGTTAACGAAACTTCCTTTGTCATTGAGGGAGAGAAGTTGGTACCTTTGGAGAGAGTCCTGCTGWATTTTATATCCCTGCAATAGATTGGATTGTGGTTTTCACTGYCCACATTAACTTCACTCTCAGGGARGCAGGAGAGACTGTAAACAAAGCTGGACCCTTCTGTTTGAAGTTTTACCTGGCCATATATTCCAACTTGTGCTACTTCCTGGGTGAGTGCTGTTGCTGTAGCTTTCCATGTTGATCATCTTAACCAATAGTTTCTCCTTTCCCTCTAGGAGCCAAGCCATGGTCCAACATCATGGAGATACTGGAGGAGAAGGATGGGGTTGATACGGAACTACTGGTTTATGCAATGACYTTGGTTAACAAGGTTTGTTTCCTTTGTTAGCATGACTGGTGCAGATATTAGCACTTTCAATTGTATAATGAACTTCCCAGTTTGAGAGCATTTGACAGAGGAGACCTGTCTTGCAGAAGTTGCAGGACAAGCTGGAATCAATCAGCGCACTCCTGATACTTGTGCTGCAGTCACCCAGAGGCAGGAGCAGAATTGTTATTTTGGTAGATGTTGTGTGGAATTGTGGTCTGCCATGGCTCCTCTCCCAGCACTGGCAATGCAGAGCTAAAGGAAAAAGCGACAAACTAACTCAACAGATTATCCAAGGGGAGAAGGAAAGCAAGCACTGGTGAAAAGAACATGCTCACAACATCTCGTGTCATGCACAAATTTCTAGTTCAGAAATTTTAATTTTTTTTCCTATATAGGATGAATTTAAGAGGTCTGAGTGCTAGTAAGAGTGCTTCTGCTTAAAAAATCTAAGTTGCATTTTTTCTTATTTCCTTACATTTTCTGGTGACTAGATTTAATAGTCATAGTTTTGTAGTAAAGTCCAGTGTTTTCTGAAATATTCACTTATGTTGTTGGAGGGAGAAAATGGAAAGACCTTGAAAGTTAGAAATTTATTAGTGTAAATTCCTTAAAAATCAGCATCTAGTCCTAGACAAACTGTAGGAGGGGAGGACTAAAATTAAAGAATCATTCTTTCAAAGAGCACAGAAAGTCAGCATACCTCTTGGCAAATAAAATAACTGTGTGGTTTATGGTTATACTTAATAGGGTGGAGTATTAGGAAATATTATTATTACTCATTGTATTCACTTGCAGATCCTGACTTTGTTCGTGGTGGTCATACACCAAGTTGCCAGCTTATTGGGCTCTTGGCTGCATGATTGGAATTGTGGGTTGCTTTTTCATTGGTTTAATTTTTGGGGGAGTTTTATGATTTTTTAATGTCAGATATTTTCCAGCAAATATGCTTAAGAGAGATTAACCCCTCCTGTTGACATTACTGATCTTAGTGTACTTTTGCTTAGAGTCACCCTCGTTCCTGCTTCCTTGATTAATAAGGCTCCTCTTGAGTTAAAAGGATCACCTKTCCTTACTGCTGTATTCTTTCTGAAAAGCATCACCAGTTACATTGCTTCTGTCTGTAGCKGCTATTAAAGCCAAAGTGATTTGTCTTTAATGTCTCTGCTTTACACCTTGTTGTTTACTGATTATACCTCTGTGTACTGATTCCTCTTTCTCAGACAKTTTTCTTCATCATTCATGCAGTTGTAACTTACCTGGTGTTTGATTTTCTTGAAATTTTTRTTCCCTGCTGACTCTTTTATTATCCTGCTGTTGATTCCTTTAGTCTGAGCTTTTCAGTATACTTAAAGCTATTTTAGGAGGAGGTAGTTCTTTACAAATACAAAAAAAGAAAAAAAACATCTGACAGTCAAAGGAGCAAGGCAGTTATGAAGATCAAGAAAGAGAGGAATTCCACAAATCCACACTTATAATTATGATCTGGCTTATGGGCAGCTTTATGATGTTTTTAATGGGATATTTTTCATGATTATAGAGAAAACAGCAAGCAGCATGTAACAGTTGTAATTTCTTTCCCAAGAGAGATTACAAAGAAGGCTCATATGGTTTCAGCTTCTCTAGGAAAGGAAATGTCAAAGTTTTCAGTGCAGGCAGAGTCCTCATGAAGGAYCTGTCTTAAGGAAGCATGCTTGTGCTTCTTTCTCCACGAATCCATTTACAGACTGTTTTACTTCCTGCTCCAGAAAAGGAAATGCATCTGCCCAATCCTTTTATACTCTCCCTCTCTTTTGTTGGTGCTTAACCAATTTACTTATGCTAATATTTTATTAACCCTTTCTTATTTGTGAGGATTTTGGCATTAATGAATCTCTTAGATGAGAGTGATCCCAATGCAGATACTTCTGGTTATGTATAGTTCCAGTATAACCTTTGTAATATTCTTGGATTGGTTAGAAATTGAATTTGATGCTTTAGGCTCTGACAGTGTATCTGTGAGTTTAATGATAAACTGTGCAAAAGAAAAATATTTTACTTCTGTACTTGGGAGTTCAGTTGCCTAGTTCTGGTCAATAACATGCAGTGAAAATTGGATTTATGCTGCTGTGTGAMTTAAAATTATAGTAACCAATAAAAGGCTGCTGACAATAGCAGTTGCCRGTAAATACTACCTTATGCTGCTGATTTTTTGAGTCTTGTGTTACCTTGGAGTTTAAAAAAGCTATATTTGAAGGTGGGTGATCTGGATAKCAACACTAAGAGAATTTCCTGTTGTTTTTGGAAGCAAACAATCAGAAGATCTAACTGTTCCTCCACCTTTTTGCCGATAAAACTGCACATTTTAGTGTGCATGAATGCACTCAAGTCAGAATAGTTGCTGTCTGTGTTTTTCATTTGACACTGAAAGCCTCATGGTTGAACAGTTTTCTATTATAATATTTCCACATCCAAGTTAAAGCTCCATTGAATATGCAATGTGATAACTTCATTTACTGAATCCTCAGATTTTAACTCAGTGCTAGGTGTCAACTTAGGAAGGAACAAAATAAATGTGGTATCTGTTTTCAGCTCTGTTCAGGACATTCTAGTTTCATTGTCTTCAGTGGGTTCTAAACAGAGGCTTAAATACTGTCCTGGGAAGAGACAAATTCTTAATTAAAGCCTGAACATATAACCTTAACACTTAATTGATCTTTGTGCTAAGAATTCCTGTTGTGGTGGATTTCACCAGTCAATAATCCTATAATGTGATCGAAGAAGAAAATGTTGCTGTGTTGTGTTTAGTTTGAAAAAAATAAAATGAAAAAGTACCTTGCTGATGMACATATTTCAGTGCCTCACATGACAGGAAAGAGGTGCTTTAAYAAGACAGCTGTGTCAGCTGCCTGTTTCTCATTACTCATGTAATCCAGACCCATTTTTTGAATGTAAAGTTGCTTAGTGTAGGGAGGCAGCCCCGAGTGGCTGCTCTTTCCTGCTCTCTGCTGTTCAGAGCCACTTTGGAAAAGATGGGCTCCAGAAAAACAGCAATCACTGGGTGCAGTGCATCCCATCCCATCCCAGGCATGAGAAGATGTAACACTCTTTCAAGAGGGTGTGGGTTTTGCATCTCTTTCCTTTGCTCTTTCTGTCTTCTACAGGGAATATAGATAAATTACTTAGCTAATTGCATGGGAGAGAGTAAACTACTTCAGAGTAAACTTTTCTCTGATGAGCTAATCCAGAAAAATTGTGTTGCTTCCAGCCTGCACTCTCAGGTATTTTGTAGAATCAGCTCTGCATAGACTGGTTCCTGTGGTGAGGTATGTGATGCTCTGCAAGTAGGTTGCACAGTGTGTTCAATAGTTTCTGGTCAACATGTGCAGGATTAAACTAGTTTTTCTGCATCATGCATAAGGAGCAGTAAAAAAATCAGCACAAACTGACCAGAAATCAGTAGTAAGCCAGAATAGGAGTTGAGGAGTCAGTGTATCTTTAATAAGGCTTTTTCATTTGGAAGGGAGGAGAGGATTCACTATCTCTGTAATACAAAACAATTTGTGCTCAGGGAACATTACTGCTGCTGGAGGTGTGGAGGACAGTAGGCACTCGGTGCAGGATATTTCCCGCTATCCTGACATCACACAGCTGTGCATTGGAATTTTTCTTCTTAAAGCTAAACTTACAGAAATCAGTAGGAACTGAGCTTTGCTCATTTTTGCTCTCTCTTTGCTTTTGTCCCTCAGTTTGATGGTTTAACATTCTCTGTTCTTTAAGTCTGTACCTGAATGAAGCCAGGAAGACTCAAACTGTGTATTTTAAAGACCCACATTTTCCATACTTTATTGTATGAAATAACAACATTGATTTGTTTTGCCAATTATTTGTTTTTCTGCACAGAGTTGTTTGTTAAAAGCTGTGCCACTTGTTTTTTTATTTTCTATCAGTGTTTCTAATCCCACATCATGGGTTTTACTTTATTGAAATCATACATAGCACCACTTGCCACCCGCTTTTAAAGCCCTTTGTTTAATTCTTTTCAAAACAAACAGATTTAAATGTTTTTCCTTTGATTCTTAGACGCTGTCAGGATTGCCAGATCAAGACTCTTTCTACGATGTGGTGGACTGTCTGGAAGACCTAGGCATTGAAGCTATTTCACAGAGACACTTGAACAAGAAAGGAACAGACTTGGACTTAGTTGAGCAATTTAACATTTATGAGGTAACATAACATGCCCTGTTTTATGCATCTTACAGCTTGTGCAAACTTCAAAGCTGAGAGGGGGGGGGGGGAATGTAACCTGGGTGAAATTTGGTTATCTCTTCTATTTTAAAAGGAAAACATCTGGTTGTTGGAAGCATTATACACATTTGTGTAAGTGACTTGCTACGGGACATGGCTGCATTTAATGCAAAAGCATTTCATATCAAAGCTGGGGCACAGTCCAAGGCAAACCATCACATTTACTAGCCTCCTTTCTGAAACTGCTAGTTACACATTCTGAAGCAAGTAGAAGTTCTTTCCATGTGCAAAAGTATTCAGCTYGTGAAAAAGGTTCGGCTGAGCTCAACTTCACAAATACCACTTGTTCTGCAACTGAATATCCAGCAAGTCCATGTTTATGAGTTTACACTGGAYCAGCTCCTATGCAGTTTGCAGCTATGGAGCAATGGGTGATTCCACATTTACCACTTAGGTATAAAATAGCTACTTCTGAAGCATTTATATATAGGGGTAGGATATCCAGTTTCTTAATAATTAGCCTCTTTTCAGACTGGGAAGTGTTGGAGCGAGGAGGTTTAGGCTGAAGTTGTAATGTAAATGTGAATTAACGTTCCAACGTGATTAAATTAAATTACTTCATCTCTGCCTAAGTCCAGCGAAGGATTTGATAGATTTGATTCTCCATTTTCTCCATCAACTCTATACCCATGCCACTTTACTAACTAGCAGAGTTAAGCTTTATATACAGCAATTTTCAGAAAGAACCAAGCCAAAATAGGAGCAAGAGAATGAGGGGGCTCAATATTCTTCTTTCTTTTTCTATCATCAGAGGCATCAGTTTTGTAAAACCCTTTTTAAAAAGTGGTGATTAATCTTAAAAGCATGAGTTGTTTCTTTGTGCATGCTGCACCTACTGAAAGAATTAACTGCAGAATTGGCTTAGTTGGGTGCCAGCTTTTTTTTGATGACCAAACTAAATTTAAACATGTCTATTCAGGTTCTTCCTTTTTTTCTCCCAATTGTGTTTTTTACCTGAAAAATCTCTTTTGCCTCAGAAACCGATTTTACACCCTAGGTAGAGATATCTCGTTCCCCCTTTGTTGATTTGTTTGTTTTTTTTTTACATCATTTCTGGTAAGAATTACCCGAGTAACAAGACTAATAGAAACAAGATAGGCATTCTTCTGATCACACACATTGCCCTTTCTGTGCCTCTGCCTATTTGAGTGGATGCTTCTCATATAATGATTTTTAAATGTTAGGCTGTGTTTCAGATTCGATCCACTAGTAACTGTGTTGTTTCTGCCAGGGATATCTCTCCTYATGTACCATAAAACTTTGTTTCTATTAAAGTTTTTTCACATTGGCACATCAAGAGCATGCAGTAGCTCAAGATACTCGGTGTTGCAACCATGTTTTAGTGCTCTGCTATTTCCAGCACTCAAGATGGTAACTGCCCCATAATCACTACAAGTGTCATGTCTGAACGTGAGGAAATGTTGAATCAATTCATCTATGGAGTTTTTTTCCTGTTGAATTCACTAAAGCCAAGTCTTCACCTAAGTATTCTGGAAAGAAATAAAGAGAATGAGCTGTCCAAGACTGCTTCGTTTCCTTGAAAATTCAGTCCTACATTAAAAAGAGAACTAACAGATTAGGAGATATATAAATGTGTTGTTACAGGGCCTATAGCATTGTGTGCCAGGCATTGGTCAATAAATCAGCACTGCCACGCTGCACTAATGGATAGACAGCAACTTTCAGGGATAACTGTAAATAGTGATGCTGATAGAATTTGGTTGTGTAGAGATCAGTAAATTTTTAAGCACAGGTGTGAAGGCCTGTGGTTTCTGAAGCAACTGTGTCAGCAGCCTCAGCCTTCTCCCTTCCTTCCTCAGGTGACGCTGAGGCACGAAGATGGGGATGAGAGCGCTGAGCCCCCTCCGAGCGGGCGCAAGGACCGCAGGAGGGCCAGCCTGGGCGCAGGGGAGCGCCGGGGGCTGGAGCGCCGGCGGAGCCGCAGGCACTCGGCACAGAACATCAAGAGCACTTTATCGGCCCCCGCCAGCCCCTGCGGGCCGTCCAGCTTCACACTGAGCCACGGGCAGCGTGCAGAGGAGCTCAGTGAGAGGTAAGGGCAGCAGCTGACGGGTGCTCCTTTCTTCTCTCGCTCCTTTCTGTTCCTTGCGCTGCGTTAATATGACAGGCTTTCCTCCATCTTCCTCTTTTCATTGAAATAAAAATTAAAAAAMCATATTCAGAGTTGAAACACCTGCACAAAAAGGAAATGGATTTGTAGGTGACTTACCCACGTTGTTAAGTTCTTTGGCAGCATCCATCCTAAGTAAGTGGACCCAAACCACATGAGGTAGAGCTTTTGGTATGGGAACTAACTCAGCTTAATTTCATCCATTGACAGATTTTATGTTCACTCTGTCCACATAACAGAAGATTGTAACAAGAGCATGGTAACATTAATTCAGAGCTATTAGTTCTGTGTATGTTACAGTTTCATTCTCCTTTTTTTCCCTCCTTTTCATTCCAGCATAAATATTTGCCTTTGAGGCTACACTGTGGTAGTGAATATATCTAACATTTTGTAATTATCAAAAGGGAGGCAGTAATGGGTAGCTGAGCAGCAATCTGCAGCAGTGAAATCAGTCAAAGTTAGTGTCTTTGCCAGTCCTATGGTGGTTGATGTAGGCTGTGTGTGCTTAGGAAAAAAAGGAGCTGCAGAACCTCAGCATATCTGASTGCTGCACAAGAGGCCTGGAATTAATTTCGCCAAAGTTAGATGTCTGATCACCTCTCCTCTCTTTGATGTCAGTGGAGTGCAGCAAGCACTGGTGGGCCTTCTATTATCTAATGTGTTCTACACGCCTGAAATTTCAACCAAGATGAATCATGAGACTGCCTGTTGGCTGKCTCTAAGGGGAATCTGCCTGACTAGCTCAGGTGGAGAGACACAAGCTGCAGRCAGCAAAAGCTGGACACTGTCAGCTCTTGCTGAAGATGCAATTTGAAATTCTGAAAGCATGGAGTGTACGAGAGCATATCTCTTATTAATTATAACATTATATTAATTATAACATTTGAGAAGTTCATGCAAGATTCTGTTGGTTAGCACGGGCTGTAAACTGAGAGCCTCGGTTACAGGTAAAGCAGTCCTTGCAGAAAGAGCTGGGTTGGCTAAAGTTTGATGGATTCTGGCAATATGAAAATATAAGGCTCCAGATAACTGAAACAGTAGTTGCATGTTGTATACCCCATAATAGCACTCCCTTT